TCTGTTCTAGGTCTATATACTAATACAAGGAGAAGACCACCGTCCCGAACAAAGTCAAGCACCTCTTCATGGCGCAGCTATTTCACGACCGCAAGCAACGACAAGAACGCTTAAGCGCACCTAAAGCCGAGCGCGCGAAGCTGGCAAATATCGACTACCTACGACCCATCATTGCTGATGCTGACACGGGTCATGGTGGACTAACGGCCGTCATGAAGCTAACGAAGCTGTTCATCGAGCAGGGCGCCGCCGGCATCCATATCGAAGATCAGGCGCCCGGCACCAAGAAGTGCGGGCATATGGCAGGCAAGGTCCTTGTGCCCATCAGCGAGCACATCAACCGCCTAGTCGCGATCCGCGCGCAAGCCGACATCATGGGCACCGACTTAGTAGCCATCGCGCGCACAGACGCCGAGGCCGCAACGCTCATCACCACGAACATCGACCCGCGGGACCACCCGTTCATCCTCGGGAGCACGAATCCGCAGCTGCAGCCCCTAAACGACCTGATGATCGCCGCGGAGCGCGCGGGCAAGACGGGCGAGCAACTACAGGCCATCGAGGACGCGTGGCTGAAGCAAGCCAACCTAAGACGCTTCGACGAAGTTGTTGCCGACACGATTAACTCGGCACCCTCGCTGCCGGATAAAAAGGACCTGGTAAAGAATTATCTAGAACAGGTCAAGGGCAAGAGCCTGTCGGAGGCGCGCGTCATTGCGCATGGGATCACGGGCGTGGATATCTACTTCGACTGGGACGCGCCGCGCACGAGGGAGGGTTTCTATCGTCTTAGGGGCGGGTGTGATTGTGCGATCAACCGTGCCATTGCGTATGCGCCGTACTGCGATGCTATTTGGATGGAGAGCAAGTTGCCGGATTACAAGCAGGCGGAAGAGTTTGCCGCTGGCGTACACGCCGTATGGCCCGAGCAGAAGTATGTTTTGTTCCTCTTACATCTATCTATTGGCGGCCGGGGGGGGGGGGGGGGGGGGCGGGGGGGGGGGGGGGGGGGGGGGGGGGGGGGGGGGGC